GCTTTAGGAATGGCTCAGACATGTGTTTGGCTGGTCCAGGGTGATTCTCTTGGACAGAAGCCAGGCTGCAGCTAAGAGCCAGCAAAGCACATGCCAGACTGTCAGTGACTAGCATCCAGGAATGAAGGAAGAGGGAGGATGACAAAGGGTCTGGTATGTGTCACCGCACTGCTGTTACAGAAAGTAGGAAATCCCGCCTGCTGCAGCCTTCTCAACCAGGTCTTGAAAGGGGTCAGTGCCCTGACCTTGTACCTATGTGCACTTCTCTGCTGCTGCACATGACAGGGCTGCCTTACAACATGTTCCATGTCTAGAGGTGCCATGGCACCATTGGTTCATAGGCTTCAGAGTTGGATCTCAGAATGAGGCTGACCCTGTTACTCACCACCCATTACCTACCTGTGCTGAACCTCAGTTTCACCATAGATTCGATGCAAATGATTACAAAAATTAAATATCCCCTTATTACTTAATTCACATAAAACCACAGCATAATAAATACCATGTGAAAATACTCCAGGATTTTTTTTAAAGAGGTGTTGAAACTATTTTATGAGTGACAATAAATTTAGGAGATGGTGATTTATCTCATGGGCTTGTTTGTTTTTGTACCAAGGATTAAATCCAAGGCTAACCATTGAGCCACATCCCCAGCCTTTTTTATTTTTTATTTTGAGACAGGATCTCACTAAATTGCTTAGGGCCTCACCAAGTTGCTGAGGCTGGCCTCAAACTTGCAATTCTCCTGTTTCAAGCCTCCCAAGTTGGATTACAGCCTGCACCACCTCACCTGGCTCATAGGTTTTCTCTGTATAATTGGGGGCAGGAATTATCTTTTGGGGAGTTACTTGATAAGAAAATTCTTGATCATTGTCCTGTCAGATGGGGAAGAAGATGATTGTGTATTGGAATGAACTGGGTTTGGAGTCAGTCCCCGAAGTGACTCAAGCATGGGAGCCATGAGTGTTTCAAGCTGCAGCAGCCTGTGGGTAATTAATGGGCTCTGAGTGGAGGGACAGTGGGACTGATCAAGAACTTCCCACTTTGGAACTGCTTAACACTTTATTGGGAAATAATCCAAATATTATCATTGTGTTGAGTTCTACACATGCATGCTATTGAAAGTGTCATTATTAATAATTTACACTATTTACAGTTTGAAACCATGAAGATAAAAAACAGTATTTCTTTACATTTGCATTAAATATACTTGACCCTTTTCCCATGATCTCACAGAATCCTCTTATTTCTTCTGGACTGTTTCACATTCTTTGCTTATTTTCATGTGTAGGATTACCTTTTTGTGATCTGGAATAGCTCATTTATATTCATGATCAACTCCTCTGTCTTTCTCCTGCCTACAACTTACCAATTTTTTCTTGACTTTTAGACTTTTAATTTACCATAATTTCACGATATTTTATTGACCATTGTTTTTAAAATTTACAACAGTTTAATATTTTTATGCAACTCAAGTAATTGTGGGTTTTTTTCCTTATAATTACTTTCATTGTTTTTAGGCTTAAAAGTACCCCCCATTTAAAAATTAATTAAAAATGTCCCTGTATTTTCATACATATCTTTGGGCATGGTTATTCTGATAATAGGCTTAAATGTTATAAATTGGTTCAGCCTTTATAGAAAATGTATTTGTAATATGTATCAAAACACACTAATGAGTTGTCATTCTTTGCCCCAGTAATTCTACTTCTAAGAATCTAACAAGAAAATGACTGGGCATGTGGTCAAGGATTTCTACACAAAGACACTCATCCCAGTGGTGTTTGTAATAGCAGAAAAATGAGAATAATTTAAGAGTCTCTCATGTGTGGGGTAAATATTATACAGCTACACTATCTCATGTGGTAACCATTAGCTATTCAAATTCAAACTTATTGAAATTAAATAAAATAAAAAATTCAGTTTCCTGGTTGCAATAGCCACATTTCACATGTTCAACAGCTATATGTGATGAGTGGCTACCAGATTTGACAGCATAGGGATGGAATATTTCTGTTCTCATAGAAGTTTCTATTAGGTAGTACTGTTCCATGACCATTAAAATCAGGTTTTTAAAGAATATTTAATAACAAGATGCATTCAAGATATGATGGTAAACAAAAGTATCAGAATACAAAATATATGGTGATAACAGGGATTTAGGTTGGTTTTAGCAACTTTCTTCATTAAGTTAAATTAGTTCAGAGGAAACCCAAACCCTGTCCTCATGATACAGAAAGAGAAAGAGGAAAGAAAATCCAAGACACATTGATGCTCAAGAATTAAATGAAATACATGGAGAAATCTACCATATGACACCTACTTAGTAACTGTTTATTGATTGAAGATACAAGTGGGAAATGTCATGCTAGATTACACAAAAGACCGATTAGCACAGTATTCTGTGGCCAACAATAGCTTTGGTTGTCCTACCAATGTTCATTATGTAGCCACCAAAGTCACAAATACAACTTGGGCAGCAAATGGCACTTAAGAACTTATATAAAGCAAAAAACCTTTCAGAATACTTTCTACATATGGAAAGACCATGAAGCCTCTCCAAAACATCAATAAATAATTACATACTATGGAAGAGTACTTCACTATGGTGTGATTGAAACTTCGGGAAAAACTTGAGAAAACTACAGGCAATTTGGCCCCAGTCTTCCCACTGAGAATATCTCAAAAGCCAGAGAAAATGTATTTATTTAAATCTTGAAATCGTGTTTCAGTAATCTCAAGCACTCCAACTTTGAGCCATCTGGGTTCCCAGAAAAATCTTGAGCCCAGAATAAGGTCTGAAGAATCCCAGATTACGCGCTTAACAGAAACAAGTCAAAACTTTCTCTAGAAGAACACACCATCATACCAGGGCTCAATACAGTTTTACCAACAATTTCTAAAATTTAATGTTCATAATTCAATCAAAGATATCCAGTCACATAAGGCAAGAAGATGAGAGAGAATAAAAACAGCCCCTAAGAGGCTCCAAAGTTTAGATTTATTAGACACAGACTTTAAGAACATTACTGTACTTGGGAAAATTTTAAAAACATTATTAAAAAAAAACTTTGTAAAATAACTGAAAATTCTTTTAAAAATGACTAGACAGATTTGAGAAACATTTGAAAACAAATAGGATTTCTAAAGCTAAAAAGTACAATAACCAAAATAACTCAAGAGATGAGTCTAACAATCACTTAGACATATCTGAACAGAGTATTTGTGAACTGGAAGATAGGTATGAAATGAAGCATGGGTAAGTTGGAATATATAAAAGAGAATGTGGAAAACAGAGAAGAATAAAAACTCTAACATTGGAATCACACATGGAAAAGTGAACTTCCGAGATTATGACTGAGAACATAATGAATCCACAAATTCAGGAGGTTCTATGAACTTCAGGCAGAATAAATAGAAAGAAATTCACCCTAAAATCACCATGTTAAAATGATAGAAAACTAAAGACAAAGGAAAATCTTAAAAGTAGTCAATAATTAAAATTCCCTTAGAGGAAAAACAGTTTAAGTTTTTACTGACTTTTTCAATAGCAAAAATGGAAGCCAGAAGACAATGGAAGCCAACCTAAAATTCCATATCCAGTAAAAATGCACTTGAAAAAAATGAAGGGAAGTAAATAATTCTCTGGCCAACAAAAATTGGGAGAATTCTTCACAAAAAACCTACAATGTTAAAGATTTTAACATGATTAATGGATGTTCTTCAGGCAAAAGGAAAGTACTTTTAGACAGAAGATCAAGAATGAGAAGTTATACACCATTCATGTATGATGGGTCAAAATGCATTCCACCGTCACGTAGAATTAGAATTTAAAAAAAGATACAGGAAAGAAGGAAAAGCAATAAAAATGGAAGAGTTGGCAAAATAAACTTGAATGAGATGTGATGTTGAAGAGGAATACAGAGCTATTTTTCAGGGTGAGGTTAACTTTTGCCTATATTAATTAGAATTCATATTTAGCTATACTCTGATGAAAAATATTTAAAGCAATTTTACCATAAAAAAGATCTGTCAATCTTCTATCAAAGATCTGTCAATTTACTGCATGATTCTAAAAATACAAATGATCCAAGAAATCATTTATAAAGTAATAGTCAACTGAGAAAAATATTTGCAATACTTCATTAGCTGTAATAGAGTCCATTACATACGGAGTGGGATCTATGGTGGAAACAGGTGGATATGGGTTCTTAAGAGCTTTGAGGTACTATTTAACACATCAGGTTGTATATATACGATTAGTTAAAAAATAGTTAATGAATTTAAAAAGAAAAGATAAAGACCTCACTCAATTTTTAATGAATGTAGAGTTATAAATGATCTGGCATCCTGTAGCTCTCAATTCACCTTATAAAAGTTGTGGATATATTACAAATAGCCCAAATGATATTTATGATACCAAAGTAAGATAAGGAATCATCTTTTCTAATGATTTGTTTTTTAAAAAAATGTAAATAGTTGTATTTTCAGGATAACTTAATTTCTCAGCAGAGTACATGGCCCCTTAATCCCTTTCAGCCCTGGAATTTTAAGATTCACTGCAAATTCTGTGAAAATATCAATCCTGAATTATGGAGACCTGAATTCCTTATTCTAAGGCTATGCCAGGGGGACTTCCAATGATCCTACTCTGTTATTCTCCAAGGAATCATCACTGAGCAGAATCATTCTGTGGACAATGGCTGTGTGGTTGAGTGGTCCTCTCAGTGTATTCCTTTGTCTCACGTTATCCACTCTGCCAGTGCCCTATGTCAAGGTGTTTCTACAGCATGTCCCTCTGCTCTCTTAAAAACCAACATGCTAGAACAATGGTTTACATCCATGGCTTAAATTAATCAATTAGGAATGTTCTCTGTGGTTAGGAATAGCTGCATGATAAAGCAGATATCTGGCAGCAACTGAAATTTTATTCACAAGGCAGATCACTGTCCCAGAAAAACCTGAGACAGGAAAAAAATAGGCAGGTGGCACTCACTTACCTGCCGGAGTTTGGTTCCCACCATAGAGGCACTGGTGTCAAGAACAAAAACCACATTCTTGGGCAAAGGAGGAAGGTCTTTGGGAGCAAAGTAGTGCACAAAATAGCCATTTAGAACCTGGTAAGGAAAAACAAAGTAAAAAATGGTAGTACTCAGAGTAGGGAGGAAAATTATCCAAAATAGTTAATCTATGGAGCTTTTAAAACTAAGATGGCATGAAATAGTCTAGGGTCACATTCCACACCCAAAGCAAAATTATCTGTGGCTCTGATCCCTCTAAGGGAACCAGACGCTAATCAATCCCTATAAGGATAGAATCATCCCTTTAAAATTTATTGATCAGTGGATTGAGAGTGTAAGTACAGAGTGCTTGTCTAGCATGAGTGAGACCCTGGATTTAAATCCCCAGCACTGAAAAAAGAAAGTATTGATCATGACAACCCATTCAACTTTAACTATCTGTCTCATTCTGACCTTGCCACGTGTGAATCCTACTTTTTTCATTATCTAGTTTTTATCAAGCATTGTACGCATTGAGACATCAAGGTTGTCAACATTCTGGATGCACATTAATATATTTTAATATTCCCACCCTGTCTCTGGAGCAATAAAACCTAAAGGGAAATAAGCTGTGGAACAGTCTCCTTTAATTAAAATTGAAGATGAACTAAAATTCCAACCTCATCTAAAACACCACAGGGAAAATTACATTTTAGATTTCATTAGCTGTCCAGATTACTGGAGCAGGAAATAGGTACCCTCAGCTTCCAGCAAGGATCATCTCTAGTTTCTTTGAAGACATATTTGGGGTAAAACAAATTTACAAAGAACCAAAAAGAGCTTTTGCCCTTAGCTAAATATCAAAATCAATAGTTCTGAGTCTAACAAAAAGCTACCAATATGAAATAGCAACACAAAGCCTGGTACCTGGATGTCTCCAATGCTCTTTTCTCTATTGACATCATATCGAATGATGAAATCTCCCAAAATTCCATTCTGGGCAATCTTGGCTTGTTGTACCACAGTAGGCTTAAAAACGACCTTGGCAAAAGTTTCATTTTGGTTGATAGCAGTAGAAGGAGGTGGCCCCAAATCATCTGCAGGTAACACATTAACATCATAAATAACAATATAAAAGTATTTCCCTAAAAAGAAGTAAGAGTCAATATTGTATAAACAAAGAGGGTTAGACTTCATCTTACTGCAGGTGTACAGATCATATAACCTTCTGAGACTTTGTGTTACTAACATACCACAATATAAGAGATATGCTATCGTATATTTCACTGTAATGGCTCCTTTCTGAACCTTTTATGAAAATTGTTAAAATGCACAAAAGTAGAAAGAATAGCAATATGAACCCCCTATGTATCCATCACTCAGCTGAAACAATTAGCAACATTCTGCCAATTGCTTGTATCTACTTTTATTTCAGCTTTTTTCTAGATCATTTTATAACAAATTTCAGACATCATATTCCATCCAAATATTTCAGTAACAAAAGAATATTTTCCTATCATAACTACAAAACCATTATCACAAGTAACAAAGATAATGCTTGATGTCTTATTATTGTCTAATACTCAGTCTTAAAGTTCTCTTAAAAATGTCATGGTGTGGTTGATTTGTCTGAATCAGGTTCAAAACAAAATCCCCACATCATATTAGGTTAATGTTTCTTAGAATGTCTTTAAATCTCAAGTGTCCCTTCCCTCTATATCTCTTCTTTTTGAAATATGTGTGTGTGTGTGTTATGATGTTATGGTGTGGATATGAAGAACAGTCAGTGCCGCAGTCCGGCTGCAGCAAAATAACTGGGGGGTGACAAGCAACTTGTGTACGTTGATACAGCAGGAGTGGGAGCCATTTATTGCAGGACAGGAGCAGTATTTATACATTCCACACAGCTTATCTTAATTAGCATAAACTAGATACATCAGTCAACCAATAAGAAATCTCCACACTTAATGGCTCGCTGGCGTTACTTCACAAACCACTCCCTCTGGCATTTTGCCAGGCGCCATCCAGACTTGTTTACAGACCCTAACATTTCTCTGGCAAAATGCCAGGCGCCATCCTGACTTGTTTACAGACTCTAACAAGTCAGAGGTGAAATGACTGGATTATGAGAGCTATCCTATTTTGAAAGGATCAACTATAGGCAAGGGGGGGCGTGGCTAGAGGAGGTCACTGGGGGTGTGTGTCCTGGAAAGGTGAATCTTTCCTGTAGCACTTCGTCCCACCCCACCTCTCTGCTTCTTTGCTACCTTGAGAGGAGCAGCTTCCCTCCAGCACATCCTTCCCCCATGATGTGCTGCCTCATCTCAGGCTCAGAGCAATGGAATTGGCCGTCTATGGAATGAAAACTCTGAAACCATGAGCCCCAAATGAGTTTTTCCTTAAGTTGTTCTTGCTGGGTATTTCGGTCACAGTGATGCCAAACCTAACTAAAACTATACACACACATACATATATACATACATATATATCCTGCTCATTGAACTTGTTCCTCTCTTCTGCTGACACTGTAATATTTGGAGGAGCTATTAAAAAAATATTGATGCCCAGGCCCATAGAGTCTCATTAAATTGTTCTGAGATGAAGACTAGGCATTAGGTCTTTGAAAAACTGCCCATGTGATTCAAATGTGCAGTTAGTTGTGAGCACCACCGCTCAATCCCCTGTGTTCACTGGTGTTCTGGAAGTCAGAGCTGGAAGCTTGATTATTCAGGTTTGATGCTACTGAACTACTTCATAGGTGATGAAGATTTCATAGGTGAAATATCTTCATGGAACACCTTCTAGGTGATGGCAAGCTCTTTCTACTCCATCACACTAGATGGTACACAATATCTCCCTGTCTACTTTTAGTGGTACCAATAATGACAACATGCAGGTGTTGTGGGCCTGCCCCTCATCCCCTTAAAAAGTTCAGACATTCTGCAGTGATAGTACACTTAATACTTTTACCAATGACTGATGAAAGCTAGGTCCACTAATTCATTAGATCTACAAAATGATGACTTCAAATTCTGTCATTTCTTCCATATGGAAGAATTAGTCCATAAAGAAAGCCTTTCGCTCATGAATCATTCAGTTGCCCTAACACACTCTTGTCCAGGAAGCATATGGTTGTTTTAAAAACAAAAATCCCCAAAGTTTTCCCCAAAGTGAGTCTTAGGATACGAATTAGAATTACAAAAAGATTATCAGAAGAATGAATTTTGTGTAATTTATTTAAAACTAGCACAATGAGATACTAAGCAAAGAGAATCCCATTTTTACTTCTGAGCTTCAGTTCCTACTAGAACACAAGAACTATTTAGCAGACTACCACGGTTATAAGTGCAAACAATACCAGCCTATGTACTTAGCAATAAAAACCCATATTTTGAAATATGAATGCATCATAAGTAGTATAAAAATAAGATTTAAAATAAAAATAAGATTTCCTAGTCAAAATGAAAACAAGAATTCTTAATCATAAGTATATGTGCAGGGATTTTTTTTATCCATATATGGAATCAAAGCCAGGTTTAAATTGCTATAAGTGTCTGATTATTTTTGAAAATCTATTCAAGTTGATAACATGGAATAGGCTGACCACTAATTTCCCATCTTCAATTAGCAGAATAAAAAAAGGAAATGAAGCATAAATGGCCCCAGTAATTTGTACTTAAGAATAAACTTCTATCTGCTAAGGGTTTATTAGACACTAAAGTCAAAGGAAGTTTAAACACTTTCTTCAACAGAACAGACAGTTATTTTTCAGAGACAATTTAGGTGTAACCTTAACAGGAACCTCAGGACTAAACTGATTCTATTATTTGCATTTAACAAGGGCAGGGATTTTGGAAGTGATCAGAGAGTTTGCAAAATATAGTGTTTTTTTTTTTAAAAGAAAAAGAAATCACAGAAGAAACAAACTCCTTCCAACAAATCTTTTCATTTGAAGGAGTTAGAAAAAATCAAGATGGCACATTGACAAGTGTCCCCATGCAGTTTACTGGCACAGCTGAAGAAGCCTCAGGACCATCACATAATAAGAAGAAAAGAGGGCTGAAAATGGAAAGGCCCTTGAAGAGAGGAAACTGTAGTTCTCTGGGATCAATGTCACCATGGTGACCACTGGTAAAGCACCAAGAATGAGAGTCATAGCAACATGTAGCTAAGAACTCAGGGTCATAAGTCAGAAGGACTAACATTCAAATACTGATTCCACTTCTTATTAGCTGTGAGACCTTTTGCACATTACTGAGCCTTAGTTTCTCATCTCTACAACAAATTAATAGGAGTGCCAATATAACATTATTGACCAGATGAAGTGACATAAGGTATTTGGCACCATCTGGTTCATGGTAAGCAGTCATGCCAGCTAACAACCTTAAACATACACAAAATAGAAGAAGGAATTAAATAGAAGACTGTAAGGTATGTCAAACTTGGGATACTACATAGCAATAAAAATGAAAGGCTCACTATTGCTATTGACAACATGGTTGAATCTCATGGTCATGTTGATTGAAAACACCAAATACAAAACCGTGTATCTTCTACACATCCATTGACATGAAGTTTAAGAGCAAACACACTTGCTGGCTCACAGCAACTGAAGTACACCAATTGTTCCTTTGGTGGATTGGTACTGACTGGAAAGAACACAAAGGAAATTCTGGGGTGATGAAAATGTCCTGAATCTTGACGTGGAAGGTAGGTAGTTGTATGGATATGTTTATATACAATCACTCATCAAGCTGTACACAAAATATTAGTATACTTTATTCTGTTTCCCAGAATCTCTTAAGGTTTGAACTTGGGAGCCAGATGGCAGAATAGTCTGAACAGGCATGGAACCTATTATAATTGGCAAACAAACGCCTGTTTTTTTTCCTTGGGTAAACATGTTAGTGTAGGCATTTATATGGAGACTAGGTGTATCCAGAGAAATCCCAGCTGGCAGAAATTGGACCAGGCACAGAGTTGTGGGGCAGCACTTTTCAGCACGGTACTAGCCAACTGTAAGATGTTTATTGGTGCAGGCAGCTCTCACCACTCAGCTCATTAGAGGTGTTTGAGAAAACCCTGCAGTAATCACCTGCAAGGACCGTGGTAGAGGGGACATCGTAGTGTGACCTTGCCCCAGCAGCAGCAGCACCACCTGGAAGCTGGCTAGAAGTTCCAGTTCTTGGACCCACCCTAGAAACTGCGAGTCTGAAGCTGGGAATGGGACTCAGCAATGTGTGTTTTTAACAAGCCCTCCAAATGATTCCAGTTTCTGCTTAGAAAATAGACATGTTCCTTACACACAGTTGATGCGCCTTACATATAAAAAATTGCCGATAAAATTTGTTGTATGTAATTAGGCAGTGCTTAGATTATCTCTAAGATTCTGCAATAATTAGATTTGATTCTTCTTTATGCTGCCAGCGTGTACCTACTTTGTCTTGCTTCAGATCTCTCTCATGAAAATGCTTCTTACAAGTACCCTGAATTAATACATTCATGGTCGAATGAAAGTACTGGGGATTAAAAAGTATAATTTTTCTCTTCATAATTCATTTGACTAGGCTCTTTGATATGGACCATGAGAAAGGATAGTGTATTATTATTTTCGCTTCCTATTGACCTCGGTGTTTGTTCATTCATGATGAAAATTCATGAGCTTCATCTAAATGGGCTTATTTTACATGAAGAGTGGAGTGATTCTTGATCTGATTACGCACCAAGAAGCTGAGCTCCTGATGCATTTGCCCGTTAAGCACCAGTTAGTAAAAGTGACCAAATGAATTTTCCATTACCTATTTAAAAAAAAAAAAATCTACAGAGAACAATTCCCAGAGTCATATCTCTAGAAAGTAAAATCCCCTTTTTTGGGGGGAAGGAGGATCTGCTAATTATGTTAGTATAGGTTCTTCTTAGAGCTACTGACCAAAACCCCAAAACACAACAATGCTGCTTCGCCTTCTTTAGTGGGAACGGGGTTCACACTGCGGACAGCCACATGGCATTTCCTGGGCACAATGGGCTGTATTAGCAGGGCACTTGGCATTCTGGGACATGTTCCACAGACAATGAGGAGCACTGGGGAAGAGTGTGC